CTGCTAGGCAGTCGATATGAACAAGCCAGATTCAAAGAATCTGAACGTGACCCTCAGCATGACCCTTCCCACCACTGCTCGATGCAGGAATGCCGTTCTCAGGTGAAATTAAAGCAGTTAATAACAAGTGCTCTCGTGGAGGTGTGGAGGGAATCCAGGGAACCCACAGACTCGTGTGCTTCAGCTCATGCAGAGGCTCACAATTGTAGGGGGCATCATTGGTGTACAGTACCCTGCTGGGGTGAAGCCAAGGGCCCAGACCACAAGCAACATGAACACTCAACCAAGTGGCACCTATCTGTTAGCAGCTGAGAACTCTGGGACAGCAGAACAAGGCTGCTGGACCACACACACACACACACACACACAGACACACACACACACACACACACACACGCCCCACTCCTGCAAACATACGTCTGGAACAGGCTGCTGACAGGAGACCCAGGACAGACACCAGCCCTCGGCCCTGGCTGGAAAGGTCTGTGGTTCCAACACACCTGAGCTGTTCAAGGGAGGTCGACACTGGGGCCCTGCTGGCACCATCATGACGCGCACTGGATGTGTGCACACAAGCAGGCTTCGACGGTATCTGAACTGTGCTTACCTCAAATGTCATCCTGCCATCTGGCCCCACCATTCTAGCACGGAGCTATAATGTCAGGCCACTGCCAATCAGTCATTCTCTTCAACACGTCAAGCACGCAGTGATAGTCCTTTGGGACATCCGTCCAGTCTTAAGGCTTTGATTCCTGATTTACAAGTCGCTGCACCAACTCTCATGCCTGCTGTCTTTAATTACCTTTTACACGTCCGGGTATGAGGGATGTAAGTTCACAGAGACAAAGCTGAACAAGCACACACATATTTCAGGGACCGTAGAGGCGGATTTTCTCCATTTCTCAGCCGTGGGTGGTAAAACTACATGTCCAGCTGTGCCATTAAAACTTAAATACAGACTCCAGAAGCTTCTGGGAGTCACAGCTTATCCTACCGAGGAAGGCGGTCTCTGAAGCATGCAGGAGGAGGGAAGCGCACAAGCCTGGCGGGGGCGGGATGCTGACCTATGAAGTCGCAGGAGAAGAGCAAGGCCAACAGGAAGGGCACGAGAACATGCTGGGTGGGGCCTGTGTCGTGTCCATGGGGAGCTGGTTTTATCCTGGCGTTGGGGAGATCCTGTCCTTCCTCGTGCCCCGAGGGTGGGCAGGGAGCACATTAGTAACGGCTCAGGCTTTGGCTGGAAAAGGAGGAGCAGCAGCAGTGTTCGGCTTCCGTGCTCAACATTCCCTTGGTAGAGGATGCGTCTTGCAGAAAAGTCATCTTGTGAGAACACTAGAGTAAAAGCCCCTCCACACTTTCCTGGGGAAACAGGAGGCACAAGATGGAGGGCCGGGGGCAAGGGGTTTAGGCTCGGCTCTGTGGCAGGACGGAAACACCAGCCTGGCCACCGCAGCTCCTGTCCTTCGGTAAGTTACAAACCCCTGCCTCGGTTTCCCCAGGAGCAAAGCAGGCTGTGCTGGAGGGCGACTGAAGGGGCCAAGGACACTACTGCACGGGGAGTCCCCATGTCAGGCCCAGTGCGTGGAGAGCAAGCCACACACAGTCCCTCTTAGTCCCAGAACCAAGTGTGCAGCACTCCACAAAGAGTGGACGCATCTCGTGAAAATGAATAGACCCTTCCTCGTGAAGCCAGTGTTCAAACCAAGGCGTCAGAGACCTCAGGGTCACCAGCCAGGGAGTGGTGTTTGGCCCCGCGGTGGCAATAACCTTCTCCAAAACCCAACTGATTTGGCTTCTGAAAATGAATGCTGTCTACTCCACAGAAGGGGCAGCTTTGTGGGTGGTAGAATGTGGGATAAAAGGTGCGATGGCCAGTGCTGCTTCGGCAGTTGTGTCCAGAATGCCTCCTTCTCAGCTGACTCTTCTGTAGCTCACAGTGGCCTGGGGACATGTGCAGTGCTGGGTGCAGAAGGTGGGTCTGTGTGGGCTTCTAAGGGTTGGAATGGCTACAAACACAAGTGCCTTTACTTGCAACCACAGCCCCCGTGCACAGACACAGGCACACGCGCCCATGTGGACACCCTCACATCACTGGACCACAGGAAGCTGCAGTGGAGACGCTGCTGGATTCCAAGGAATATGGTCCCCCAAAGAATGAGCACATCCCAGGAGAAGCCAGACAGGAAGGAATCCTGGACCAGAGTACTGTGACCACCTGGGTGATAATCACACAGCTCTGGGGCAGCCTCAAGGGGCTCAGGCTGGAGGCAGGGGGTACACAGCAGGAAGAGGGAACCAAACAGTGAAAACAGGCTCTTAGTCATCAACAAACACTGTAAAAATTAATAAGCAATAGACTTTGTGTTCTCAAGAGGATAACAGCTCACTTGGGAACCCTGAAAGTTAGGGTACCATGAAGTACAGCTTTGGGGAGTCACTCACATGTGAACTTTGCTGCAGCAGAGAGCACCCAGGGGGTGAGGAATCCACAGCCTGAGCACCAGGACATGGCCAGTCTACCAGACCCATCTAGGGACGATGTCCCCATGGAGAGTCAGAGGACAAAGTCCTGGGCATCTCATGGACATAGTGAGATTTACATTTCCCTTCTGGTGGTTTTGTTTTGTTTTGTTTTTTGGTTATTCTCGCTGATTTGTTTGTTTTTGTGGTGTGAAAACGAAGTTCATTAAAAACACTTCTGTAGCTCTTTGGAGTAATTCTTAATTGTCAATCACAAAAGTAAATCCTAACAGAGGAAAAGGGAGAAAACACTGGTGATTTAAGTCCCTCATTATCTAGATGAGGATTCAACCATCAAGAGAGATCCAGCTGCATGATTAAAATCTGCGCAGCGGGGGAGAGGCAGAAGCAGAGGTCAGGACCCTGCTCTGAGCCCCAGGCCAGGGCTGTGTCCCCACAAAGCCAGCCCTGCTGGGTCCAGATCCTGGGTCCTAACTGCAGTCCTCTTGGGAAAGGAGATCACAGACCCAGCAGCATCTGACCTGAGCCGCCCAGCACTACTTCCTGCATAGCCCCGTAGGGACCAGCTCACAACCCTGCGGCTCACGGAAAACAAGGCCAATTCTGTGCCCTTTGTCACAAAAAGGAGCAATGACCAGGAGAAGCCAAGCAAAAGGTTGCTGCTGCTCAGGACTTGCCCATGAGGGGGCAAAAGCCATCAAAAAGAGGCAGAGCCATCAGGAAAATGCAAACTAACCTAGTAAGGAGACTCTCAACCGACCTACCAGAATGGCTAAAATTAAAAATGGTGACAATTCCTGATACAGTGTGGATATGAGGTGTCCCCCATAAAGCTCATGTACTAGGCAACACTGGAATGTTCAAAGGAAGGATGATTAGATGGAAAGCCGAGACCTAATCAGATATTAATCCATTTGATGGGTTGATAACTTGACTGGATTACTGGGTGGTAACCATAGTCAGGTGGGGCGCAGCTAGAGGAAGGATGTTACTGGGGGCGTGCCCTTGGGGACGATATCTTGACCCTGGATCTCCTCTCTTTCTTTCTCTACTTCTTGGTTGCCATGAGCGGAGCAGCAGTCCTCCACTCCAACCTTCTACCAGGATGTTCTGTTCCACTTGGGCCCAGAGCATGGGGTGGGTCAACCATGCACCAATCCTGTGAAACCACGAGCCAAAATAAACTTCATCTCCTCCAAGTTGTTCCTTCCAGGTATTTTGGTTACAGTGACAAAAAGTGGACTAGCTCAGTCCTAGAGCTTGGGTGTGGAAACACTGGAGCTCTCCTACACTGCGGCCGGGGATGGAGAACGGTACGGCATGGTTTGGCAGTTTCTCGTGAACTCTCACGTGCAATTGCCATATGAGCTAACACTGCCCTCCTGGGCGTCTGTGTCACAGAAATGAAGACTTATGTTCATTCAGAAGCCTGTGCAATGGACGCTTGTAGTAGCTTTATTCAGAAACACCAAGATGGCAACTAGCCAGGTGTCCACCAGGAACAGGGTTAAGCAAACCGAGGTCTGCTCATACCATGAAGTATTCCTCAGCCATGAAAAGGAATAAAATATAGACACATGCAGCAGCCTAAATGGGACTCTGGGAAATTAAAAGAGTGAAAAAAGCCAATCAAAAAGAGCATATACAGATAACCGGAAGGGAGAGGGAAATATGCTGATAAAGGGGCAGGAAGAGCGGCATTTGTGGGGACAGGCATGCACACGGCACCTTGACTGGGAGCAGATTCAAGAACACACACACGGGGTAGAATCTAGAGAACTCAACACAGCACTAAGGGGTACACAAGAGTGAAGGAACCAGGGTCCAGTCCCTGGTCACATGAAATATTGTGGTCCTGCAAAGTGTCACACAGAGGAGAGGTGGGTGCGGCATCCATGGATCTCTCTGTCCCGTCTCTTACAACTGCATGTGAGCCAACAATTCTCCTCACAAAAAATGCAATAAGAAGAAAGAGGCTGAGAGAAATCTCTCCCCCCAAATCCCATGCAGTTGAGAGCTCTACGATTACCGTTAGTACTTACAGCAATTATAAAACCCAAAGTGCTAGAATATTCACCAACAGCCTTTATAGGAAGATGATAAGCAAGGCATAAGTTTAATATTTCATGGAGGAAATGCTCATGAGGTTTTTCTTTTTTTAAATCTGAAATATGTGAAATATAAGTCCTTTCAAAAGCTGAGGGTACAGCTGAGACTCACTTTGGCTAAGAAAAACATATGGTTGAAATGAGACCGAGAAGTCATGGCCCAGAGCACGTCTCTGCCTGTGACGGGGGCTAAGAGAGCAACTCAGGCTGTGTTTCTCCAAGGGACAAAGTCCCGCTTCCTAGTGCCAGAGCTCCCTGTGGACACGCAGAAGTCACCAATATTCCACTTCCCTGTCCCCAGTGCTACCCGCATCACAGGAGGGGAGGCACTTTGTACAAAAGCCACCTTCGCCCCTAGTAGCACTCCGCTTCCACGGGGCGAGTGGGCGTGAGCCCGTCCCGGGTACTTACTTGTTCTGCATCATGTTCATTATCACCCAGTCGAAGGGGTACACGTTCTTCCCAATGAGGTTCTTAAACATGATGAAGGTTTCCATCAGAAAATCCTGAAACAGACAACACAAGGTTGGAACAGCCGCCAGGAAGAGGGGGACGTCAACGCCCATGAAGGCATGCGTGGTGAGACTACAGAAGGTTCTTATTTTTAGCTGAACGAAAGCATTCTGAAAACCAATGAGGACGCACATTGTGGGAGTGGCGTAGCAGCTCTGTCTTTCTGTGTATCTGGGGTCCTCCTGACCGAGCTGCAGGCTCCAGGATGTATTTTGAAAGGGTCTCTGGGTACGTCTCTCTCAGAGTCAAAACCAGTGGATCGGGATCCCCCAGAGTTTTCAAATACTCATCCTTGCCCTTTCTGCTTACGGGAGAACAGGATTTTTTTTTTTATTTTTCCAAACGTAACCGGCTGGTTGTACCTTTTCCTTATTTACTCTAAATCCATTTTTCAAAAGGAACAACACCCACTGGGTCAAATAAGGCATATTATCATCCCTCCTTCCTCCTTACGCCATTTAAAAATACAAGGCCATGTCCTGGCCACCTGCACACAGTCATCCTGCTGCACACCACTGGAGCATGTGGCCTCTTTGCCAAACCCTTCCACACATCAGTGCCATCCCACTGAGCCATCAGCCATGCCTCATGTGTCTCACAGAGGGTTTTCTGTCCTTCCCAGGCTGACCACAGGGTCGGCAGGGGTCGAGGCTGGTAAGAGGGCTCACAGTGATGGGAAGGGGTGCCGCTCCCCTGTGCCTGTTGGAAGGATGATTTCCTACTACAAGGGCTTCACACTTGTTCTGCTCTAACCTGAACATGGCAAGGCTTATCCCGAAAAGACCACACCTCCAGGAGCCCCGTGTGTGCTCAGGGCCTGCAGGTGGAACGGGAAGGCACCGGCGAGTTGACTTAGAGAAATGAGGCCATGGTCAGAGAACACCAAATGAGTGGGTATTCCTCATTTATTTAATCTATTGAATCATAATTAGGTGCACTGGCTGTGAAGGCCAAGGTGGTGAATGGAATTTAAGCAGCCAGTAAAGTAACAGAGTTCCTAACCGGCATCACTTGGCAAAGGCTCACGAGCCAAATGTGAGGAAGACAATCAGGTGATGTCCAAAGCTCACCTACTTTCTCTGCCACCTGTATAGCCATGCCAGGTTCCTGCAAGTCACGTCTATTTTGTGGAGGGCTTCGGTGCACCCAACCATGAATGGACTCAGGGAGCGACAGTGGCCACCCCCTGTCAAGGGAGAGCTCTAGGCCAGGAGGGAAAGTCAGTGCAGATGGGTTCCAAATTCTGCCTGTGAGGCCTGCAACCGCCAAACCTCAGCAGGGTGGGAGCACTCCAGGTGTCCCCTGACGCACAGCTGGCTTCTTTCCCCAGTTAAATGACTGAAATTCACATTTCGTGCAGCTTCCCCACTTTGTCAAGATTTCCCCATTCTGATGCCCAGGTTGCACGTTCTGCTGGCTAAGAGCTGTAACTCAGCCGCCCCTCCGTTTGCAGGAATTTGCTGGCTTCCTTGTGATCGCTCCTCGAAGCCTGATAATTGAGATGCAGGGTCTGGTTCTTATTATTCTGGAAGAGAAGCATCTTTTCCCAGCTCCTTTTCTTCTCTCGGAGACATAGTCCCGTACTTCATTAGCATGGCTCAGCTGTTAAATTTTGGGACTTTGCTGAACAAACAGAACGCTGCCGAGAGTGGGAGACGAGGTTTTGCAAGGCTTCCTGGTGGCTCTGCATAATTCACTAGCCATGGTGGTCCAAGCAACTGCAGCTGCCCAGGCAGGCCTGTGAGGTTCAGCAGCCTGTGAACCTGAGGTCCCCAAGTCAACAAGGGATGTCCTGTGAAAGGTTCATCTTTAAACCCTGATTTATTCCCTTTGCACTTTGTAGTTTTATTATTCATTGGGTGTCCTAGATAATAAGTGGGCAGCTTCAATAATAATCATTAGTGCATTTCAGAGGCAAATTCTTCTTAGCCTAAAGCCATCTGCTTCTCTCCATTTCTAAAACACAAGCTTTGCCCAAGAGTCATCCTCTCACATCTTGACTGTGGCAGGGGGATGCTGGCCCATCGGCCTGTGTCCATCTTTGGCCCTTCGACATGCACTTCATTCAGAGTGATCTTTTTTAATTATGAATCTGATCAAGGTGCCAGCACACTCCTGATCCTGCACTAGCCACCGCTGCAATGGCTTCCCAGTGCTCTTGGACTAAACCATCTTGATATTCAGAACAAGGAAATGACAATCTCACCAGCTCTTAAACACTCTTGCCAAAAGATTGAGCTTGAATTTTAGGCAAAGCTTTCGGTCTGCAGGACAGACTGGGACGTGGCGAGGAAAGCCAGACAAGCTGGTTGAAAGGTGCTACAAGGCAGATCTCGACAAATCCAGAATGGGGTCGGCTTCCAAAGACTGGGCTCGGCATGCTCAAAACTCAAAAAGCAGCACCGTGAAGAGAAGAGAAGCAAAGGTACTGGGTTTATTATCGAAGGAGAAAGAGCATAAAGAGACACAACCAAAGTCGACAGATGAGTCTGCACTGGATCCTGACTTGAAGGAGCCCCTCATGAACGAAGTCAGTGTGGGAAGGACGGAGGAAGCCCGAGTCCCCTGGGACAGGGACAGCTGTCTCTTCCTGAAGAGCCGCATGACAGCCGCAGGCCCCCCACTCCCCTTGGGAGAAGCATCCTGACAGCTCTCAGTTCTCGGGGGACTTGTTGTATGGACAGAGACTCTTGGGGATGCACAGAAGCAGCACTGTGTACAGAGCTGGCAGCGGAGGGACTCGGGTGACGGGAACCTGCTCTTGCTGCACTGTGCCCTCAGCTTTTTGGAATATTTGAAAACATGGTTCCACCTCATTAGGGCAAAGAGTACAGGAGCTGCTGGGGAGATCTGAGAAGGGTGAGGGGGTCACATCCACGTCAAAAATCCTGGTTGCCACATGGCACCACAGTTTTGCAAGGCGTCACTGTCAGAGGAACCAGGCAAAGGGCACACAGAACCCTGCCCGTGACACTGCAGTGATCTCAGTCTAAAAGGTTCAAACAATCACGCTTTTACTGTCATTCCCAAACAGTGGGAAAACGGCGATTAAAAACAGAAAACAAGGAGGCAAAGAAGACAAAGGTCTTCACGCTGCTTAGGAGGAGGTCTGCTGTGGCCTGCCACCCCCACCCCTCCAGGCGCTCCCAGGGACCCTCTTTCTCCAGCACTGCCCCCACACTGTCCCCTCACCCACTGTGCTAATGCCTCCACCACTGTCCCTTTTGCAGAGAAGGTGCCTGACCCCTGCTGAACTCTGATCTGCCCCATGGTCAGGACCATCCTTTCAGAGCAAAGATGATTTTGGTTAATGGGGAGGATTCTGTTTGGCTGTGATAGACCATGAGCCACAAGAGCTGGGCAGTGCCTGCGATGATCCTGTGCAGACGCAAGGCCACTCATCAGTGACCGGCCATGGAAGGATTCCACATGGCCCGGGTTCAGGTGCAGGGTAGAGGGCCTTCACAGGGCCACACTCATAGGGAATGGTCACAAGGAATAAAGGAGCAGGTGCCTAGAGCTTGGCTCCTCTTCCAGGACACGCAGCAGGAGATGAGCACATCACCCGTCGGCGGCTGTGGCACTGGACCTTCCAAGGTCTCCTGGGCCGCAGCAGGAGAACACTTGTTAGGCAGACACTTGCCTGCTAACACACTTGCCTTCATGTTCCCCATAAGTGCACAGGCAGTGTGCGAACCCAGACCAGAGCCCAGTCTTGGCTGATGGTCAAGTGGGACTGACCCCTGAGATGCTGTGATGGAGAGGGGCTGCATCTACCTGAGGAGACCAGGACAGGCGTCAGGTGGTCCCAGGGCGTTGGAAGAAGCTGTGTGAAGGGAGAAAAGGCTCCATCGAGAGGGCTTGGAATTGGTTGAAGCGCAGAGGCCCGCCTTCTCTGATCCCAAGGGAACCCACAGGTAGACCAGGCCCAGGGAGTCCACAGGAACCTTCAGCTCTAGACAATTAGGTCATTTAGACCTAGGGTCCTGCCAACCATCCACTGTCCCTCGCCCTGCTCCCCTTCAACTTTACCCCCCACACACTGCCTCTCCCTGCACTGTCCTGACTCCTCTCTCTTCACTCAGACACTCGACGGCCATTTGCTGAAGGAGACTGTGCTGTACAATAATAAACACACATGGTCATGGCCAGGTTGTTGGGACAGAGTACCAAAAGCCCCTGAGAATTTGCCGAGTGGCGAGACTGGCAGTACATTCGTAATGAGACCCTTGGATCAGACCTCAATGATGCCAGGGAGGTGACAGGATGAGTGGGCTGGTCACCAGAGAGACTGAAGGGTTGGAACTTCCAGCCCCACCCACCGCCCCTGGAGAGGAGGCTGGAGATTTTGCTAGAAGAACTCTCAGCCTTGTCTGATGAACTCTGAGCTGCTGAACAGCTGGAGGTGCAGGAGAGGCCTGGAGGGGGTACCTCTGCTGCGGCCCCGTCCAATGCCTTGCTCTCGCGGTGCTTCTGTTGGCTGTTGGCAGTCGTATCCTTTACAGTGAACCAGTGCACATGAGCCAGGTGCCTCCTGAGTTCTGAGAACAATGCCAGATGACTCCGAGCCCTGGGAGGCGGTGGTAGGAGCCCCAGACTTACAGGGACTTCGTCAGCAGTATGGGAGACAGACCCACCAAGTGGACGCAAACTGGCCCTGGAACCTGTGGGTCTGGCACTAGCTTCAGGCAGTGTCAGAATTGAACTGAGTCATGAAACTCAGAGAGCAGCGTCACAGAATCAGTTGGTGTGATCATGGGAGAGTCCTCAGTGAGGGTGCAAATAAGCAAGTTGTTTTTCCTGAGCCACGTAGTGGGGATCTGTGACAGGAGGCAAGGTGGCAGTCTCCCTTGGAAGGTCCAGAGTCGACCTCATCCCTCTTCCTGGCGACGCAGGCCTTGGGCAAGCTGTCTGCTTCCGTTCCTGGTGCTGAGACTTGGACACAAGGTGGCAGTACTGTGGGTCAAGGGGTGTGTCTGCTGCAGGGTCTGGAGACGTGTCAGGGGCTCAGATCCTCGAGGACAGGACGGGCCCCGCTGGGAGGGAGGTCTGCGTGGACCGTGGCCATTCCTTTTCCTTTCTAGGTCAGTCTTTCCTGGGTGCTCCGTGCTCCCACTACCTCGGATCAGAGAGCCACCAGAGAAGCTGTAAGAGCGACAGCTCTGTGACCCATGGGTGTGTGTGGGAACGACTCACCTCAGCAAGGGCTGGACTTGCCAACCTGGGGGAGCTCTTGTCAGAAGGAAGGAAGTCTCCAGAAGATGGCTGAGGCTGTCTCGGGTGGGTATACTAACTACCTTCCAATTAGTTCACATAAAATCACCTTTTGTCTTTTAGGGTAGAAAAAGAGTCAAACACCCTCTGCCTATAGTTAATGGACAGAAACAGATTCTACCAAGTTTCTGATGGATTAACAGCAATAAAAAAGGTTGACCATCCCTGAAGTATGAATTTAAGATACACAAATCACAAATGCCATTTTATAATGGAAATGAAATCGTCTGCAAATAATTGATTTTCTGACTGGTTGTGCCAAAAGGGAAAAAATGTCCCTTGGGATATTAGGACCACAACATGGAGTAAATATTCTGAGTCTCGGCTTGAGGAAGGAGAGAGGGCACTAGCTTGGAATTCATCAATTACAGCAATTTTTAAACACCGTGGGTCATTATCACTTTTCACAATTCACAGACCCCCAGATCAGTAGCACCATTTACGAGTTCAGATGAGGTGGCTTTAACAGTCTGCATGTGTGGTTTTGACCGTGACTGTTCTGCTAATGCACAAATTATTAACTAGAATCTTTACTTTGCAGGATGGGTAATTCTTCTCATTCTGAAAACTGTTATTATTTAGCCTGGAATTTTATCTAAGAAATTATTCATTGAACTTCAAGTTATAACTATTCTTTTCATTGACCAAAGCAGGATATATGAACACATTTAAGATTCAATTATGGCACTACAGGCTGTAAATACAAAATCTGATTTCAATATGCCATGATTTAACATGAATCCTAGTAAAAAATGTGATATGTATCCCATATTTGAATATGCCTCTACTATAAACTATTCATTAATAGTCAAAGGAAACCAAAAGACACATACATGCAAACAGGCATGCTTTCTTGTACCTCGATTTTTATGTAAGGGAAATTGCTATGATGTTGAGGTATAGGTTCATTTTTATTCTACTTAGAATTTTATCTACCTAACTACCTATCTATCTACCTATTGTGGCAACAATTTAAAAAATTGTCCCAGAAAAAAATTCTTGGAGAAAAAAATCATAAAAATCATTCTCCTCTTCCCATCCCTTTACCCAGTAGATGTCACACACAGAGAATCCCACTGTGCACACCCCAGCAGGTTTGCTGTACTGCGCAGGAACCTGTGGGCAGTCTATAGGAGCTGATCCCGAGAGTGGAATCCTGGAGCTCGTGTGGATGTCTGATCGGGAGCTCTGCTGACAGGACTGGCTGCAGCTTCTTGCAGGATATCCACCATATGGCAATGGACTTTCAGGTCACTGGGAGAAGGCTCCGTCTCGATGAACTCCCTCCATGATACTTTTCCTGATTAAGTTGCATCATAGTTTCACTGAGGGTGACTAGAGAGTTATTTGGGGAAATGTTGTTGAGCATCCATGATTAGAGCTAATTAACAATGGTGTGCAGCTTCAGACTGTAAAGCCTGTCAGGCTTTGACCAGCCAAGAACGGGAGTCGATGACGGTCATCGCAGGAAACACCTCCAGCTGCCAACCCAAAGCTCGTGAAAGGACGGACCAAAGAAGACAAGAGGTGGGTTCTCCAGGTCGGCAGTGGACACGAGTCTGCAGGTCAGGACTCTGGTCTTCTGAGGAACAAGGCTTTGGTGATACATCAATCACTCAAGAGGCACATGCTTATGCACAAATCTATGTAAAGTAGAAATACCAACACCATACAGACATGTAACAGTGGACGAAAGGACACCCACCACAACATCGGTCCTCATCTTCCCGAAAGTCTTGATCAGGTGAGCATAATGATAATCTTCCATTTGTCGTAAAATAGCTGTCATGCACGCCACGAAGTTCCCCTGCAAATGATCAGAACACAGAATCAGAGAGGAGAGAGCAAAGGTTAGGAGAGTTGCTGTCAGTCTGGCATCTAAGCCATCCAGGAGAGGCAAGGGGGCTGCCGGGCCCTGCATCCTGCCAGGTCTTGCCCAAGGATGAGAGCACAGGACTGGTCCATTTCAACCTTGAGTTTTTTGGAAGGGGAATATATATATATATATTTTTTTCTCCCTGACTGCATTAAATGCCTCATGACTCGCGGTTGTCCAGACTGGAAAAACAAACTTCAAATGTTTTTCTATTAAATATGCAAAGATTAAAGAAAAGATAAAGATCAAGGTCACTTGTGTTTTGTGCCTTCCTGGCACTTGCTGCCCTCATCATCAGGCACCCTGTGTGCATGTCCCCTCCTCTTGGGCCATGGCAGAGAGAGGTCTTTTATTGCTCAAAATCTGCCTGTGTCCCCCTTGGCCAATTTGGAGGCAATCGCCACCGACTCCGCAGTGAGTTATGGTCCAATTCTCTTCCTGGGGAAGATCGGTGCGAGGAAAGCGGGCTCACCGGAATGTCAAGTGAGAGAGTTGGAAATTTCTCATACCAGACAGAGCTGGCTGCAAAGGGGAAGGAGGAGGAAAGAAGAGAACAGCAAATAAAATCAAGACCTGGAGAAAGTAAAGAGTCAGAGCAGTAAGCAAGGAGTGAGCCAGGGTGTGACTGTGGGTGTGCAGGTGCCCGTGTGCGTGGGTGGGTACCTACTGGGGGCGTCTCACTGCAATCCCCACTCCCCTGTTGGGAGCTAAGGACCCTGAATTGTCTTCCTTACTTTTAAGTGTGTGTCCCTAAATTAAGGCATTTTAAGAAACACAGACCATATATTTACTCCCATTAAACAAGTATAAGCTTAGTACAAGTATAGAGCAAGGCATAGTTTATGACATGTCCCTATTTTCCCCCTAATAAATGAGTGCCTAAATTGTGTTCTTTTACCAACCCAACTTTTTCCAGCCACTCATCCGAATACCTAAGTGTCTGCTCTATTAATTGGGAATATGCACTCCACAGTGAAACGTTAAAGTCCAATGCTTTCTGAAATCCATCTTTGTATCTATAGTATATGCACACACTTCCAAACGAGTCCTCGAAGGATGCATTACACAAATTGAACAAATACAATAATGATGATATGGTATCTTCCAGTTGCCCATAAATATAATTTGTGAATTATGATAATTGCTGAGATTTAGGTTCCAAGTTGGTAGTGTTCAGTGAAAGAGCTAGATAATACTTGTTTTGCATTGGAGGAAGAATTAGTAAAAATGGTAAAATGTCTATTTATGAATATGAACTTTTGAAATCCGTAAATATTTGGCATCCCACTGAGCCAGTTGCACTGGTATCCTGCCTTCTGTTCATGAGATGCCCTCCTTTGACAAGTGTGAGACTGCATGTGGACCAAGCACTGTGCTAGGACTGTGAGTACCAGGACCTGGTTTCAGGATGGGGTGGACTCTCTGAACCTATTCTACAGGCTGTGGGATTGAGGCTCAGAGGCTGCAGACTCTGGAAAGGAAGTGGCCACAATGGCTGTAAAACCAGCATTCCAGGGCTCTAGGGTGGGGGCTCTCCGGATGAGCTCTTTTCTTTCCCTCTCATCCACATGTACATATTAATTCTTTCTCTGAGAAATCTGAAGCTACTGCTGACAGCCAACAGGAGGTAGACCGCCAGGAGAAGATGCAGAAATGCCAGGCCTCCTCAGGACCGTGCCCTAAACTCTACCTGGAAACACCACTGGTGACCTAGTCTCCTCCCTGTCAGAGGAGGAGCTTTTCCTGAGCACCAACACACCTGTATCAATCCAGGCGAACCTGGAAAGTGCTGGAAGTGATCTCTGCCTGCCAACACAGTTCACCCATGGAGACGCTCACAGTGGTACAGACCAAAGTGCAAAATACCAAGTCACAAGCAGAAAGAACAGAGGCCCCTGGGAGGTCTTGAGATGCTGAGGGCATGTGCCCAGAGAAGCACCGGGGACAAGAGTCAGTACCTCTGCAGTCAGGCCCAGTGACCAGAGGGCTTCGTGGACAGGCTGGATCCAGAGAGGATCCAGGCACTGCTGGAGAACCCAGGCGCGGCCAAGAGCGGGCAGCGACGCGGTACCAGATGTGAAAAATGAAGTCAGACCAACAACACCCAGAGAGCAAGGCCTGGGGAGGCACATGCGGCCAGGCTGGACCTGTGCAGGCCGCCCACCGACAGGCGCTGGAAAGGCCCAGTGAGGGCAGAAGGTAGGCACCACCATGGGCGACAGGAGGCCTGCCAGCACAGCGCATGCAGGAGATGCACCAGCAGCCACTGTGCTCTTTGGTCTTGCTTTTCCTAGAGGAAGGGCGTTCTGCCATCTCAGCGCTTCTCTGCGTTGGTGCCTGTGGCCTCACTCGGAAAGTGGTAACGCCCCTGGAAGTCCCCACAGAAGGGCTCCCCAACCTCCCTCATGTTGGAAATGGAGCTCCATCTTCCAGGTATTGGTACTTTTTTTGGCACTAAGGATTGAACTCAGGGGTGCTTAGCCACAGAGTCTCATCCCCAGCACTTTGTATTTTTTTAAATTTTGACATAGGGCTGGCTTTGAACTCCTGATCCTGCGGCCTCAGCCTCCTGAGCTGCTGGGATTACAGGTGTGCATGGCCACACCAGGCCAACGAACCCACGTGGGTACTTTCATAAGGTAAGCATTGCTGACGCCATGGAGTCCACTGTCCCTGGGAGTGCAGCAGAAGCCTGCACAGCGTCCCTGTGGTTGCTAAGCATGGGTAAGCCAGGGCGCGCAGAAGCTGAGCTTGAGATGAGTCATATGTTAGGAACAAAAATGGGGAAGAACTGTGAGAAGATATCTTGAATCCTGCAGATGCAGAAGAACATTAGTATCCTCAATGTTTTAATGGATTTATTGTAAATGCACTTAGTAGTCATGGGGAGGCTTTATTTTTAAACGACAGGTAGACTGGCAGGTAGGCTGGGGGTGAGCCATGGTGCAGAAACTGTCCTGTACATGAGCCTGGGGACCCGGCTCCAGCCCCAGCCCCTGAGTAAAAATAATTAACTAGGTAAAAACAAGACCTATTCCTATGACTTCAAAGCAATGCAAAGTAAGGGCAGAGAAGTCAGGATGCACTTGCAGAAAATTTCAAAATCAGGACATCGAATGCTTAATAAACAAAAAATGTGAACCTCATTAGTAATCAGAGATGAAAATGATATATCATTATTTGCCTGCCAAAATAGCAAAGAAGTGTTTAAGTGATGATAATGGTAGCAAGGGAGCAGGGAATGAGGACTCTCGTACGCTGCTGGTGGGAGCATAAATTGCTATAACCTTTTTAAGAAGCGATTTGGCAAAAGTCTTGGAAAAGTCTTGGAGAAAACACTCATCTCCTCAATAATTCTACTTCTAATAACCCACCAGAGAAAGCAATTTGAAATAGGAAATTTTAAGGGCAAAGATGTCCATTGCATCACGGAAAATACCTAGGTATTCAAGGGAAGAAATTGTGTAAGTAATAGGAACTTTGTAGGTTGCAGGATGAAATACAGAATGCCCACTTCCAATTGAATTTCAGACAAAGAACAAAAAATAAATATGTCCCAAACACTGCACTGGAAACATTGCATGGGATACACACACATTGGAAAGAAATTGTCCACCTGAAGTTCAAGTTGAACTGGGTGTCCTGAATTTTTAATCATTAAATCAAGTAATTGTGCCACAGTGTTTCAATGAAATATCGTACCATCATTAAATATTAACCATACAAAGTGAAACATTTTAATGACATTAAAAGATATTGAAAGAACAAAAAATGGACAAGGACCAAGAAACTGAGAGGAGAAGCAACTGAAGTCAAGGGGACTCTTGAAGCTGCAAAGTGGAGGACTGGTCGCTGGGCCCGGTGAGCCACACCTGTAATATACAGTGACTCAGGAGGCTGAGGGAGGAGGACCACAAGTTCAGGCCAGCCTCAGCAACACGTGAGACCCCATCTCAAGATGAAAACAATAAAAAGGGCTGGGGGTGCAGCTCAGGGTTAAAGTGCGTCTGGGTTTAATGTACAGTATTGGGGGGAAAATTGACTCCGAAAGTAAGGCTGCATGTGAAGAAGACAAATGGCCCCCGCTCACTTGTAAGCAGAAGGCACGGAGGGTGCCTGACACAACGAAAGAGGAAAGCTGGCTTGCAGATACCTAGGGATAACAAACCTATAATAAATGCCCCATTCTCTCCTCGGCTCACCTCCCAGCATGTCAGCAAGAGGATTAGGACAAACTCCCACTTTGACCTCAGTCACACACTAAACAAGAGCACAAGACTAGTCTTAGGGGAAACTGACTAGCCAAAGAACAAGCCAGTAATAGTGACCACTGGGTTCTGACAGTCGGCCATCCTCCCTCGTAGGCTCACCTTGTCAGGCAGCACCAGCCTCAATGTGTGGGGTAAGCTCTGGGAGGCAGAAGGTCTGATTCAGATACCAGGGCCTCATGTTCAAAGTTCACAGATCATTAATAAATAAAAACAAAACCAGAGGAAAGAAAAAAAAATATTCAGAGCATGTAAGAGAATTTAAAGAACTGCAATTATTACCTTTGTATTTATGAGATTATATCAATGAAACAAGAACATCATGTTATAAAAAAGAAAAAGGAAAAACATAAAGGAGTCTCAATTTTAAATCAGAGTATCTGAAGTGTGTAAGCAGAAATAAACATTAAAATAGAAGTTTGGGAAGGAAAAAACTAATAAAATCCTCCAGAAATATAACAAAATCACCAACACACTCAAAGAGAAAGAATTCATTGAAGATATATTAAATATCTAATAAACAGGAACCTCAGAAAGAAAGAACAAATAAGAAGATGATTAAAAGCTATTTTTACAAAATGATAAAAGATCTACATTTATCAGGTTGCAGAATACAGGATTAAAATACAACAACCAATTTTCCTATACACTACCAATGGTCAA